TCTTGGTTGAAAGTTTTGGTCGTGGATTTCTTTCGTGCTCTCTCATGTGGGTCTTTTGCTTGAATTTCTCTTGTAGGTATATCGACAATCTCAATCTCCAACTTAGGGGGAGATTGTTGAAAGAAGCGCAGCTAAAGTTGAAGATTCGCTTGCCGCTGACCGTTGAGGAATTAGAGGATTCAGAAATGGAAAGCCCAAGAAGCACCTTCCTTCTTTGGAAAGCAACGGCTATTTCATGGTTCTATATATTGAGTCGTCATTTCCTCTGTAAAAGCACTTAGAAAGATAGTGGTACAAGACTATTGGAATTTCTGAGGGTTTCTGCAACTGGAGGTATAGGAATCAGTTGCTGGTGGTGGGTTACAAATCTGGGATTGGATTCGGGTCTTCTTCTCTTTGTTTGTGTTTTGTAATTTTGTTGTTCTTTTGATAGGAAAAAATCAATAAAAAAGAGTCTCTCGAAGTGTAGCAGGTGCTATCTCCGGGACGAGGACTGACCCGTAGATTGGGGAACCTCGTTAAAATCCTTGTGTTCTATGTATGTTATCTCTGCTTCACCTTTGCTTGTGTGTTTAGTCTCCTTGCTCTGTTTTTGCCAAAGTCTCTGCTTCTAAGGACTCTGTCCAAGGAAGAAGAAGAGATCAGCTAAGCAGATCAAGGATCTCGGTGGGCTTAACTTTCTCTAAGCCCAAACCTGTTTTGTCATCTTTTACTTCCCTCAAAGTGGACTTCCTTCTATCTTGTTGTGGGCTTTGCTTTCTTAAGCCCATTTCGTCCCAAACAGAAGAAGAAGCCTCTGTCTTCTTACTTTGTCTTTCACTTCGTTTATTCCCTTCTCCCTCTTCGAGTTCAAGGAAACAGAAAGCCAAATCCCTAAAAATTTCGATCGATTTCCTGGTTTCATGATTCTCTGTCAAAGAGCTCTAGAATCATTGATATGTCCTACCTTGGAGCACATGATTGATTCTCTGTCAACTTTATTATTGAGCTCTAGAATCATTGTTGCATCAGCTACATTGGAATCGGCCCATTTGTTCCAAAATCCTTCTTAAGATGTTGCAGCAAATTCAGTTTCAATTGTAGAAAGAATGACTTTTGGTTGTTTCTTTGAGGCACAAGAAATAGACCTCACTTGCTAGAAAAAACAGATAACCGCTAGCTCTCTTTCGAACATTAAAATCACCGCCAGTGTAGCTGGATAGACATCGATTTTCATTCATTTTTCGGTACCAAATTTAATAACTTATTATGGCCTTTAGATACCTTAGGATCCTCTTAGCAACAAGCATATATTGTCAAGCCTGGTGTCTCCATAAACATGCTAAGTAAACACATTGAATACAATATGTCATCCACTTGAATATCATCTTCAACCTTAGACAGCTTTGCCCCATAAACCATGGGATTCTTCACAAAATTGCATTCAAGCAAACTAAAATTCTCATGCACTTCTCTCATGTATGTATGTTGATTAATGAATATTCTAGACTCACTTTGATGCACCTCAATTCTCAAAAAAAATATTTCATTCTTCTCAATGTTATTTCAAATTCAGACTGCATAGATCTTTTAAACTCTTCAACAATAAACTCAAGACTGATGTCGGTGTACATTAAATCATCAACATGAAGGCTGACCAAAATAATTTCACTCGCAGATCACTTTATGAACAATGTATGTTCATGATCACTTCTCTCGAAGCTAATTTCCATGAAATAAGCTTCAATTTTTGTGTACTACACTTTTGGAGTTTTTAACCCATAAAAAGCTTTTCTGAGCTTATAAATTTGCTTTTCATCAAATTGGTATATCGGAAACCCATGATAGGAAACTAGTGCTAGGTGTGTCCTGATAGTGTCTCACTTTGACACTGTTGCAAAGACCTCTGTGTGATCAATCCCATGCCTCCAAGCATACTCTTTTGCCACAAACATTGCCTCGTGATTGTCCATAGAACTATCTTCCTTGAGCTTAGTTCTGAAAATCCATTTCACTCCAATAGGAAAGACACCTTCAGAAGATGTTGTTAGAATCCAAGTTGCATTCTTTTTAATGCCTATCATGTCCTGCTTCATTGCTTCTCTCCACTTATCCTCATTTACTGCCTCTTCGAAGGTATACGATAATCATTGACAGTCACCATTTCCAAGTAACCCATGTTTGCAAAATAGGTGCAGTTATAGATTGCTATTTACCATGTAGATGTCTTACCGTAAGACCTAATCCACCACTTGGAAGGCCTAGCACATCATGATTAGAGTCATCTTCGTCCTCTCCTAAATCTTGATTTTTTGGTATCGAACTTCATGTAGAACGTAGAACCAATAACATTTGTTGGTGTGGAAAGACTAGGAGGTGGTGCTACAACTACGGTTTCTACTAGAATTTTTCGTGCAATAGACTCTTCCTTATCTTCAGATTTAGACCATGGATTTTTAGTGCCATTAAACATCACTTAGTCAACGCAGACTGTGTGTTCGAAATTCCAAGTGCAATCTTTATCTTCATAAAAAATAAACCCCGTTTATCATCGCTTTCTTTGCAATAGCTGATAGGATTGTAAAGCTTGTAAGCCTTAGACTTGGTGGAAATGCCTAAGAACTGAAACTTTACACTCCTATCATCCATTTTTCTTCTTTGTTGATCATTTAAGTGTACATAAGCCACTCATCCAAAGACTTTAAAATGTCCAACAAAAGGAGGTTTATTAGTCCAAAGTTCTTGCGGTGTCTTGCATGCATTGCTTGTGGTTGAACTTCTGTTTAGAGCATATGTAGTCAAGTAACCGCCTAAGGCCATAACATTGTAGGAATTTTAGTGTCTGCTAATGAACGCCAGACCGTATGTTATTATGGCTCTGTTCGTGCACGCACACTTAAAACTTCTCTAGCATCATCATATTCATATAAATAAGCTTTTTTCCACGAGTTCGTGTGAATAAGTTTTAGAGCACCTAATTTCAATAACATTTTGATAATTCTCCCGACGAGGGAGCTAATTATCAGTATTTATTTTTCATAAAATTCACAAATTATATAACTAAATATTAAATATTGAGAAAGGACTATATATAGCCCAACCTAAACTACACATTCTCCTAGGGATGGCAACAAAACCCGAACCCACGGGTACCCACCCGACCCGGTCAACGCGGGTAAAATCCGTGTTGACGGGTTTTGGGCCGGGTTTGGGTTTAAACCCGTTCACTATTCACCGGGTTGGGTTTGGGTTTAGGTAAACCCGGCCCGTGGGTACCCGCCCACCCATATAATTAATTTTTTCGGTATATTTAATATTCTAAACAACTAACCTTATTTATGTTTGTGGAGACATGTCTAATTTTTTCTTTTTAATTGTGTAGAATGAAGTTGATGTTATGGAGTGGAGAGTAAAGAAACTTAATTGAAAGGAAGAAGCTTTCAATTAAACATGTTATTTATAGATAATTTGTGATTTGCTTCAATTTTCTTGAGTTTTCTATATTGGTGTTGAACAATTTGTATAGTAATTTGTGACTTGCTTGAATTTTCTAGAATTGTGTTTTATATATGGATAATTTGTATTGAGAGATTGATATTTGACTTTAATTTTGATAAGAACTTGTAATTGTAAATTTTTTACGACAAAACCCGTGGGTACCCATGAACCCGCGGATACCCAACGGGTTGAGTTTGAGTTTTTCAAACCCAGTGGGTTTTACCCCGAGTTTTTTTCAAAGATAAACCCATGGGTTTGGATTTGAGTTTGGCAAAACCCGACCCAACCCAACACATTGCCATGATTCTCCGCAACTAATTATAGCTAAAAGTTCATATGGTCGGTATATTGTGTAGTCCCACTTCCAACAAAGAGATCAAGAGTTTCATGCCCCACACATCTCCATTATTAAAGAGAATAAAGGTATAGCTTTTAATCTCTTGAAATTTGTGTGGAATTGTTGACCAACTTGGGCATGAAAGTGTTGAAATGGGGGGAAAAAAACCCTGTACATATGTATCCTTGTTGCATGTACTATTTGAGTAGTGCAATGAAAGTACTTCCAATATGTCCATGATTCATGTGTTGTGTTTCTTATACAAGAAATATCAACTTTATTTCCAACTTCCAATACTATTTAGTTACATGAAAACTGAACTTTATTAATACGTTCAATATAACGTCAAAAATATTGGTTCAGTTATTGACATATATTAAACTTACAAATGATTAGGCAACAAAATCTATTACGACAATAATGTAAAGAGAAAGAACTTCGATTTTGATTTGCTGGTTCATATTCCTGCATAGCCCTCAAACATATAGGGAATTATATTCTTGAAATATTTTGAACATCTAGAAAAAAGTTTACATTTAGAGAAAAGTTTTGGGTTCGACTTCAAAGAACTGTATGACCCATCCATTACAACTTTGTACACATTATTGATGTTCCCAACACTATAAACCGCCAAGTGAGAGTGGAACAAAACATGTTTCGTCATGATTCATGCGTGCTTGAAAAGTAGATCAAAACATCTTTAATTTTTTGTTAGAATAATCAAAGCATATCTGATTACTCATTACGAAGGATAGTATATATATATAATACCAAATGGTGTACTATAAGTATATCACATTTCGAATCGTCTGATCGTTGGATTTACTTCAATAAATTAGAATTGTGGATATTTATTTAGTTTAAAATTCTTCTTAGGATTTGAATTTGATAACTTGAGGTCAGAAGTTTATTCATTATCATATTTGAAACTAAATTTAATTTATGTCTTAAATAATATCTTATTAGGAATACCAGACTTATGACGTAGTCCATGAATATATATGGCCATCATCTGTGGTATTTGCCTAAATACATAGAAATGTCGGGCAGTTGGGTCAATCTGCTTGACTAATAATCACTAGGTCGTACCACATGATAACAGAAAAATGCCAAATTCCGGTAGCAATAGAAAAATATTTGACGGAAAGATGACAAAATGAAGCATACATTTATTAACAAATATCTTACCGAATCTCATTAATTATTTGGTAGCTGTGCGTACTATATAAGGTCAGCCATATATACAGAACCAAATTTGTACATAATAAAAGAATACAACATGGACTATAAAAAAATAAAATAAAAAAGGAAAGCCATAATGTTGTGCTCGGGCGAGGTGGAACAATTCAAAGGCCGGGACATTTCTTGACTATCTCTCTCTGACTTGGCCGATATCCGCGTAAAATCAGGCTTTGATTGATTGAACGATTCCCGCCAACAAAGAATTGCAGAAGACAAGTTTCAATGGAGATGACAAAGATATAAATCATTAAATTCATAAATACCATGCACCTGTATTGACTATTGATATATAATTATGAAATATGTATGTTCATGACGCGCATGGTACGTAATCGAATCATGTTCATCGAAATATTGAGATATCAACCACGCATCCAGAAGCCAATTAAGAAAGGAAGACAAATGAAGGAGGGAGAGAGAGGGAGTGAGAGAAGGAGGTATGCTTGGCTCCGGGTACGCCACCGGCAACTGCCAATCCGACGCTGGGAGAGGGAGGTTTGCTAGTGGCATACAGGGAGCCAGGCATAACCAAACACACCACTTTACCATTTCCATTTACGCCATGCCATGGACGACGACGGTTTCGCATTCGCAGAGAGAGGAGAATGAGAAACCAAGGGTTTGAGGAAGGTGGTGTATGGACAGAAGAAGAATGAGCGAGCGAGTGAGCGAGTGAGTGAGTGAGTGAGTGAGTGAGTGATTTTCGTTCATGTGTGTGTCGCTATATATATACATACATAGACGTCCGTCCGTCCGTCCGTCCGTCCATGTGTGTATGGTAAAAGTGGAGAGGGTGGTGCCGATAGGCTGTCTGCAGCTTTAACTTTGGCGTGGATTCACATTCTTATTAAAATTAATTGATTTTTAGAGGGATTTTCTTGCCATATGTACAAGAGCGGTAATATACTATGGGAAGAAATGTGCATGCCATGTACGACAAATACGATACAGCCCATCATCATCCATTCTTTCCATACAAGGACAGCACAAAAGGGAAAGCAAAAGCAAAAAATACTATTCTCTCTCTGATATTAAAAAAAAAAAAAGAGGGTGGGAAAAGAAAAGAAAAGAAAAAGGAAAAGATACTAACGAGTCAGGTCGGGGAGAAAGAGAGACAGAGATTCGCAGATTGTTCGTTGAACGATATTATTATCATCATCGTCCTTTTGGGGTGGGGTGGGGTTCACGCTGGATTTTCAGGCAGCACAGGACTCAGGAGGGTAACGCGGTTGTTGAAGGGTTTGGTGGTTTTGTATTCTGCTCCTATATATGTTGTTTTGTGTTTGTCGGCACTACATTCGATGGCTACCAAGAGACAATACCAAAGTGAATGCCCAAGTTAACAAAAAAAAAAAAATGAGATTTATGTGTTTCTTTGCTTACGTTAATTATCTACAACGACTTTGTATTTACGATGAATTTGCTGAGGAGTTCTTCGGAATTTTTCGTTTCGACATCACATTTTGCTATGCCAAAATATTAGTAATGACAATGGAAGAGCTTTGTAAAGTATAGGGTAACTATCAACCACACTCTTATCAAACTATCCGGTCATTTTGATACCTAACAATAAATTAGAAGTCCTTTGTTTGTATCCCGCTAATTTTATAAAATTTTGATTTTCATTTATGATAGGGTTGGGGATTTCTTTTCTTTTTGTAGAAGGTCAAGTAAGGAAAGGGAATTAGTTTTGATATTGTATTTGTATTGCAGGGAAGTATCTCAATCAAAAGGCAAAGTATTTGAACAAGGAGGCAAGTATTCAAACCAAGAAGCTAGTTGTTGCAATCATGGAGGAAGTATAAAACTGGAAGGCTGGTGTTACGGACATTGGTTTAAGTGATTTTTAGTTTATAATCTCTTTCTTATAGCTTTGAGCTTTGTGAGGAAGAGAGGAATTTGAATTCAGTTATGCTACTTTAAATGGTTGAATCGCACATAAGGGATTCAAGACGTAAGTATTAGACTGAACTCGACTTTCTTATGTAATCTTCGTGACTTTCTTATGTAATCTTCGTACCCCTATCTATTTATGTGCTCTGTTTGAAGCATCTTTGTTTTACAAGCAATCAAGGAGGTGGGATGCAACATTAGCGAAAGTTTGAAGACGACTGGCCACTATGGGTCAGGGATGAGTGAAGTGGGCCGTGCAACTAAGCATTGGCCGACGTTTGAAATCGAGCTCATCTCAGTCTTCATCAACAAAGGCAAATCGAAAAATCTATTTTAACCGATTGTCTTCGTCATCATTCTGATTCGCTGGCTCTTCTTCCTTTTCAGTTACTCCTTCTTCATTCGCATCTCACCTTCACTATTGTTAGAGTTTTCATATTGACGTTTCTTTTATGAACAATGTAATGTCTTGATATGTGTGCTATATTTTAATTTAAAAAAATTATTGTTACGCCATGCCTCCATGGCTACTAATTACTAGCAATATTTACTAAACGTTGTACAACCATATCAAACATTATACTAAAAAAATTAGCGATAGAATATTTTATACTGAAATCATAACTATTCCATACAACTAAAATCACATATCGATATAAACTCCACTAAAATATTTTTATTTTATTTTATTTCGAACCACTGATATCCTACAAACGCAATTATTTGACCAAAAGTACGAAACCCAGTCAGCCAATGCCCACGCCAACCCCAGTCGCCTGCTTTTCCATTACTCTCAAATGCCCTAACCCTAACCCTACATTCTCTCGCTATCCCTTTTTTCTTGCTTTTCTGACGAGACAAAAGCGAATATAAAGTGTTCCGACTCACTACTCTACCCTGTCTCTACTATGGTGTTATGGGCGTAATACAGTAGTTCTAAGGGTTATGCTGATTTTTTTGTCTTTAATAGCAGACTGTCGACGAGTTTTAGGTTGGTATGGTATGGATCAGTTGGAGACTTGGAGTAACTGCTACCGCGCCGATGCAGAGTGAATTGCTTTCTAACTTGTTTGTAACATGAAAATAAATAGCTGCTAAAGTGTCGGTCGGGACCAGAATCAGATCAGGGGCGCAAACAAAGCCCTTATTAGATCTCCACCAATCCGCTAAAAGAGTCAACAAAATTGGTGTCAATGCATCTGTTAGCAGCTCGTAGCTAGCCGAAGCCGATTGACCACACAATCCACATGTTATGTTCATCATATCTTTGACACACCCACGATAGATGGAATCATAGTTTATTCTATGTGTTATATTAGAATAGTGAGAATCCGAACACGAGTATTTTCGAAAACTATTATTCTCATAATAACTCAAGTGATTAGTGGAGCTCCAAATATAAGTCTTATACTTAGTTCTCAAGATTTAGTATATCAATAAGACTGGTCACCAACCATTTATGGTGGTGAACGGCTATTTGCCGCCAATCAAATTGCTTTTTGCTGCCAACAAAAAAAAAAAAAATTGAATTCAAAATTTGAATTCTCCCTTCCTTCCCTTCCTATAAATTCGAATACCATAACATTTGACTCATTCCAACAAAAACATTTTTGTCGACGAGCCCAGTGCCTCCGTCGCCGGCCAACCTCCCGTCGTCCTCAATCGTCGGAAAACAAGTAAGTTTACTTTTTCCGGCAAGTTTTTCAATTTTCCGGCAATTTTTTCCAGTTTTCCGGCGAAAAACACGGTGGGTCGAAAAAAATTTGTGGCCGGAACGCCGCCGGGCCGAAAGAATTTTTCGGCCGGTCGCCGAACGCGCCGCTGTAAATTTTTCCGGCGGCGCGTTCGGCGACCGGCCGAAAAAAATTTGCGGCCGGAACGCCGCCGGGCCGAAAGAATTTTTCGGCCGGGCTTCGCGCCGGCCGCAAAAAAAATTCGGCCCGGCGGCGCACCGGCCACAAGATTTTTTCGGCCCGGCGGCGCGCCGGCCGCAATTTTTTTTCGGCCCACCGTGTTTTTCGCCGGAAAATTGAAAAACTTGCCGGAAAAAGTAAACTTACTTGTTTTCCGACGATTGAGGACGACGGGAGGTTGGCCGGCGACGGAGGATGGTGCCGGCGACGGAGGCACTGGGCTTTCCCGATGGTTTTCCGACGACTTTTCCGGCGAGCGTCGATTTTTTCTGATTCAATACATTTTCTGAAAGTTGAATATGTTGTAGATTGTGAAACTTCTTAACCAAGGATGTACATATATACTTTTTTTTTGTTTTTTTTTAGTTGGCGGCAAATAGCAATTTGTTTGGCGGCAAATAGCAAGCCCCTGGTGGTGTAGCTACTATATCAGTATATTATCCATTATACATATTATCTTATTGTATCATTGTTTTAGGTATGTAGCCGTTAATTAAATCAGGATTACACTACTAAATTTCATCCAACTGGCTTATTTTTTTGTGAAATATCATGCATGTAACCATTTTATACACAACATGTAAACATGCAATATGATATATTAAACACCCCTTGAAAAAGAAAAAGTAAAGCACATACATACAGGTTCAAATGGTAAGTGAAACTCATAGTATAAATTAAATATTTTGTATATTTTATAATTGAGTAGTTTTTTACTGGGGTGACACGGAACAATGTAAACAGTAGCACCAAAACATATGCTTGGCAGTTAGGGGTGCAAATTTAATGGGGTGTAAGTTGAGAGAAAAGTTGTATGTGGTGTAAATTGGTGGGGTTTAAGTGGAAGAAAAATTGTTGTTTGGAATGAAAAAGTGGAGGTGCGAATAACTTGAAAAGTAAGTAAATTATATTATTATAAAACAGGTTAATTTATAAAATATTAACTCAAAATAAATAAATTACATATAATAACCATAAACATTAATAAATATAACTACTCCATATTTCTAACTCAAGCATTGATTTATCTACATGGTAGTTAAATCGGTGCAGCGGCGGATCTAGGGGGATGCCCCGGGGCCACGGTCCAGCCCTTCCCGGATTCAAAGCTCGTATAGTACTTATAAATTTTAGATTTTGAGTATATATTTCAATGCTTATAGAGTTACGGTCCAGTGCTCTAACCTGTTCTGGATCCACTGCCGAACCAGTGTAAAACTGACATATCAAATTAAGTTCAACCATAAGTGATCATCCTACAAGATTCTCAACTTCTCATTTCCCGGTTAACCCATGTTTTGCTCCACTTACCTCCTACCAAACCAACTTTTTATATAATTCTTCCCACACACAAACTGATTCCTTCCCCGTTCTTTCTCTGTCGAATCAGGAGCCAGCAATTCTTGATCAATAATGCGCTCTGCAACTGCACTTTTGGACAAAGAATCTGGATTCCCTTTTTTTGGCCCAATCCCCACTAACCCATATTACCCATCCATCTCAAAAGTATCCAACCCTTTGTTCCCATATTAACTCTAACCACCTCAACTGACAAATTTCCATATACAAATATAATAATCCCACTTTCTTTTCCCCTTTCCCAGCACTCATCCATTGGCTTTCATTTCTTGTCGTTGCTTTATATCTTGTGTGTATGTTTTTTTGCTTTTTTATGTTCAAAATCAAAAGTGCATGTGCTGCCCAGCATAGATCATCAGTTGGTTGCGGGTTCATCTCCAACTGTTCACCTACCAAACGAATGTGTTTGCATGTAAATGTAATCATAAATTTGTTTGTTAACTAATTAGTTCAACCACAAGCACGTAAGTGGACGTCCAAAAGCCAACAGAGATAGGGTTTAGCTGTTTTGATACCTTTCATGTCCTCGATTGATACATCAGAGAAAGAGTGACATGATGACCCATATGTGTAAATTAAGTCACCAATGTACCTTTCATGAGCGTGTAATGTATAAACTAATTTATGGTTTAATGCTTACAATTTACTGATAGCTAAACTCGTTTAGTGTTTTTTTACTCTTATATCTTTTTCAATAGTGTTTAAGCCCGTTTGAGTACTGGGTTGAGGATCTGTTAGGGGATTTTTGGCTGATGCTGCAGTGATTATCGATTTGAGGTGGCCCGAGTTGATTTTGGCAATAAAGAAGGTGGGGTGGAGGAGAGGTGGTCTAGAGAATTGATGAGGATGGTCAGGAGAGAGTATCAAGGATGATGCTTAGAAAATGTGGAAAGAGAGAATAAAGGGACTAGACACATGAGGCGAATCAGGCTTGAATTGAGGAGAATTTTTGAAGTGTTTGTTGTGAATATTTCTTATTCCATATCTGTTTTTCTTTGAGTTCCATTTCGCTATTTATACTAGAGGGATCAGGTCAATTATTATTAATGCTTTGTTCGGACACCTCAAGTCATACTCCGACGGTGTGAGCGAACTAAATAAACGTTCAGGCACACCCCTATTTGTTGTATTTCTGATTGTTCTCTTAAGTGGACTCAATGTCCTTATTTCCTCGAAGTGGCCAAGGTCTTTTTTTGTGGGTGGAGGGGGGGGGGGGGGGGCAAGGGAATCTTCTTTCCGATTTTGAAAGCTATCTCGAGTAACCATTGTCCCTCACTGAGTTACGCTTGGGTTCAATCGCTCCTTGTGCCCTTTTGGGCGGATGTCGGGTTGGTTCTCGAGTTTGGACAACTGGGCACACTTTAGCCGCTAGTTGGACTTGGTCCAGATACGTCGGGCCTAACAGATAATATTTGATTTTATTTACTTTCCCATGCCAAGTTGAGCACGAGAGATGGTTCATATTGATATACATCCTAAGTTCCTAACATTTGATTGATGTGGAAACTAAAAAATCTGTAATATAACTACTAAATTATGGGTAGGAGATACCTATAGTTTCCTTTAAGAAAACAAGACTTCTTTTCTGTCGATGGACACTTTTCCAGGTTTCATAATTAAAGAACACAATGCAATGCTGGACCCAAGGCGAAGAATTTGGCATAAACAAAGAGCGCCCTAAACCCAAAACATCATCATGTTGCGAGACTAATTGTGCCCTTAGTGTCCATCACGGAACTTACTTTTTCCCAAGTTGGTGTGAAGTGTTCAATTTGTAATAGTTGCTTTTTGAAAAAAATTATCGCATAGAAACTTAGAAAGTAGCTGTAGGAGATGTGAAGTGTTGAAACTATCTCTATGTTCTTGCTACTTTGAGATTCCATTTTGCACTAGTACATTTCCATTTCCATCCCTAGATCAAGATTTTATATTCATATTTCAGAGACGAGATGACTAAGCGAGGAAGATGTGATAACATTAAGCCACGGGAGAGACCGAATTAAAGAGTAATTTGTTTTTTATGAGCTTTCTAAGTAGTTATAAGAGTTGCAATAGTATTATACATGTAGGTCTTGTATAAAAAAGGTCATTCACTTTCGACCAAAAAATTTAATTTAGATTTCGATGGTGTAGCTCAAAGTTCCACCGTTTACTACCTGCCACCTATCATAATTTGTGGACACCATCATTCTTTTACTTCGCCCTTTTTCTTTTGAGCAACAATGTATTACATCATCTCTTACCTCTAATAGTTGTCCTAGGCTACTCCTATCAATGTTGGAAGTTTGTAATTATATTTTGTGGATATAAAGTGTGAAACAAACACTTTTGACCGATGAAATTGTGACTTGGCTGCATCATGAAAAAACTTTTGGTCTGAAACATCGAACCCGATCTATCTGTATAGACATGTACAGAAGAACCACATAAACTTCTTTTTCTTTTGGCGTGACAATGATGAGAAAACAGATATTTCGCATCAAGTTTCTATTCTCCGGAGAATATCATAGACAATGATGAGAAATGAAACCCATCATTCGATCCAAAAGAAAGCCCATAAAATTGAAAGCCCAAATCCGTCACATGATTAACATTCGTCCAAAAGCTTGGGTTAGTTTTGTTCCGAGGCTTCAGGCCCAATAATTACGGCCCAGGATTGCATCCAATTAACCATATCCGGTTCCACTAAATGAAAGTAAGAAATAAGTCCAAGTGTATCGCAAATCGCCGGTTGGCTCCTTTTCTCTCCATTTCGCCAATGAGGAATCAGACAAAGATGGCGATCCTTGTGTTGGCAGTTTCTTGTTCGAACCGATGCTTACAGCAGCTTTGTGATACCTCCCCACTAGATGCCATGCCGGATTCTACAACCATTTCCATGGCGTTCTCTTCTTTTTCTTCGACTCTTCCTCCTCGACTCCGCTGCCCCGCTGTCTCGTCCTTCTCGGCTCTGCTTTTGCCGCCTCCTCTCCTCCTCCCACATTCAGCTCCGATTCCGACAAAATGAAGCCCCCCGCCGATAAATCAATTCCTCCGGTAACGTGTAATTGCTAATTCCGAGTATAATTCTTATGCTATCTTTACTGGTTGGTTTCCAATTCCGTAGCTCTTCCACTTTGCAGGGACCGTATGTCCGGACTCGAGAAGCTCCGGTGTTTCTCGGACTTCGGAAAGGCAACGACGCGCTGACGAGCGCTAGGGCTCGGTCTCCGACCCCGAAATCCGAGAGTGGAAGCCGTAGTGGAAGCAGCTCCGGAAGTCCGCCGGCGAATTCTCCTCGATTTTCATCGGATGTTGCTAACCGAGTTCCGATTCCAAGTGGTGGGAAATTGGTTGCGGTGAGAAGCTCGACGGAGGAGGCTTCGGCCGCCGCTGCGGCGGAGGATATTGTTTTCGACATCAAAACGGTTCGACGCTCCTCGTCGCGGAAGCTATCATCAGGTAGTAAGGAAACCGCTTCGTCTGGGCTCCCACGGTCTCGCTCTTACATCGATTCTAGCACCAGAAGCGATCCAGGCATTCAGCCCAAGCTCCCGAGCAAGGAAAACACTTCGTCTCGACTCTCCAGGTCGGCTTCCTACAATCCGAGCGTCGATTCAAGCGGTACAGATGATTCAGGTAGTGAATCCAAGCGCCGTCCAAGCAAGGAACCCGCTTCTGCCGCCGGCATCCCAAGGCCGCGTTCGTCCAAATTGAGTGCCGATGCGAGCAGCACAGACGACTCAGGGAATGAATCCAAGCGCCGGAGTAAGGAAACCACTTCCCCCGGACTCCCTAGGTCTCGTTCTCACAGCGTGAGCAGCGAGTTAAGAGGCAGCAGAAATGATTCAGGGAGTGAATCTTCTTCGTCTGGAGTCCGAAGGTCTCGCTCGTACAATTCGCCTGGCGGTTCAAGTGGCACCAACGATTCACAGAATGAATCTAAGCCATCTGCGGTGGAAGCATCACGCGATAATCCTGGAAGATCCTTTCATCTCAGCGAAAGCAAGCCAATCCCATCAAAGCTTCCACTCCCTCAGTCAGCAGCATCATTCTACAAAGGCTTTTCCCCGCAGCTGTGCCAAGTAGTGGAGTCGTGTGAAAGTATTAAGAGGGTGAATCAGTACTTGAAATCTAGGAAGGATGATGTTCGAGGTGGTGTGCCTGGGAAGTTCTTGCAGGCCGTAATTGGCCAAGACATGCCTGGTAATGTGTTAAATTATTCTAGGCAAAGCTGGCAACCAAATATGAGCAAGGTTCACCATGCTTATACGTTGAGTTTGTGTGTGCAGGTATTGGATCGATTGCTTCAACTATTCTGTATGCCTTCTACTTGCACGAAACACTTGGGAATGACCAATTATGTACTGTGCCTGTCATCAATATGAAGAGGGCTGACTTAGCATCTCACCCTGAAATAAGCTGGTTGCTAGATTCATGCCAACTTGACGAGTCATCATTGATTTTTGTGGATGAGGTGTGCGTCGTTAAACTACTAAAACATGCTGCTGAAATGACCATCAAGTTAGAAAACTGACTGACCATTTTTCTGGAATTGAATTTTTGAGCAGATTGACCTGCATTACTATGATCTTTTCGGGAGTCTTAAGGTTGTTCTGATCGGCGGACACAAACTCGCTACAAAGCAAGAGGTTCCAAATTCATTGATTTAACAAGACAAGCCATAGTTTTATTGTCTCAGCCGTAAGCCAGACATGATGTTTAACTGTATCCCCGTACATGTAACAGGCACTAAAGGGAGCTGTGGTTGAAGTATTTCATTGCAGAAAGGTGGCCTTATTATATATTAAAGGATGCCTCTTCACAGAGATCCCCTTTTTTCTAGAGGTTCTGAATTTCTGAAGCACATAAATTTCCTGTGTTTCAGGCCGAGTCTTTGTACCCCGGGGTTCAGCTTGTAACTGGGTCTGAGGTAAGCTTTAATCGACCATGCTGCTCAAGCTATCTGCTTTCGACTTCAGGGGCACTATTAACTTGTAGCACCAAGCGAAAACACTTATTTGGTGGGACACTCCCTTTTAGTTGCCATACATATCCCAGTATCCAACATGTACCAGATGTTCGAAAAGTGAAGTTTGAAAATAGGTGGTGCTTATTTTCCTAAAGAAAGTAATCCACCAAGAACATAGCTATACGGATGACTCTTATTGTTGCTTGTTTGCAACATCTTACTGTTATCTTCTCATGGTAAACCCAATATGATTAAGTTCCTGCGTACTGCAGAATGACTCCTGCTGTACTGTGATCGCGGAGAAGTTTGTTCTATGGTCCCCAGAGACTTTAGCTGGGCTGGGGTTTAGCAGGCTTTTGGTATGTGCTACTACTGAGTTCAATTGAGATAGCAGAGCAGTAGAGTAGCTACTCAAATTTTGTCTCATCATTGGATATTGAAGTTAACTTTCTCCTCCCCGCTTATTTTAATTTGGACTTTATAGCTTTGACCAGCATTTTGCTCTCGACTTAGATTTTTCTTTTCGTTCTTTCATAAAGCTAGCAGGCATCCTGTTAGATACTGGAAATCTTTCCAAAGCACAATGTAGCTCCAAAGACAAATATATGGCCACCTTGTTGATCAGTGGTGCTGGCCACTACGGGTTCAATGGTCTTTACCAGATATGTATGCCTGCTCTGGCTCTACCAATATGCTTCACTCAATTTATTCTTCTGCTTAGGCCTTAGCTGAGCTCGAGACTCTTTATTGTGCTAAAGGCCTAGTGTTGACATCACCAAATGTTTATGCATATGCAGTGAGACAGCAGAAGCACGATGTGCCTCATAATCTGAAAGCATTTGAAGTGCTGCAGAAGGATTTCAAGAAGTGGGCTAGAGCTGGTATGAACTTACTACAAGTCTCCTTGATTTGCTTAATCTGCAACTCTTTCCTGGTAGCATACTTTTAAACCATTACCTGTTGTTGATTATACTCACCTTCCTCAGCCTCTAGTTCGTTAGATGACCCTACTTTCAACAGTCTGCTCTTGCATATTCAAGCCCCCTTGTAACAACAACATTCTTTTGACAGCTAAATTGGATTCCAGCAGTTCAAAATCAATAGCTTCAAATTTTGGGATGAGTTCTACGGGCATGACAATCAAGCAACTTCTAACTCGTGAGGATTTTTCAATTGAAGCAATCAAACACTTTCTAGGTCAGTCTCTCTCATCCGCCAGTATGTAGACATCTATTTCAAATGTGAATTACACAGTTCATATCCAATGCCAAATAGTTTGTACTGTACCTCAAGACGTAAGAGTTTCTTTTTGGCTGACTGTTCTGTGTGTAACTCCAGAGTTCGAGAAACTTCGACTGCTATTGGTTGTGTCTGGCTATTACGATTCACAAAAGAACTTCAAGGTCGGAGAATGTCTCCCTTTCCTGTCGTTTCTTGTATTCAACTTCTCATCCACTTGTCAATGACTCTTCTTCATTTCCCTTCCAATCCATGAGTCCACTTCAGCGGGAGATACTAATTGTTGCTGAGTCCGCGGATGCAACCAAAAGTCTCTTGAAGTTCTTTGATGCCAACGCTTCTGAACTGCCACTCAAACCTCTTCACTCTCTAGGTTTGTCTCAATACCGCATTTTGTCTCTTTTTCCCTGCTGAATGTATTTCTTTCTGGTCTATGATCTATCATAGCTGCTGATCAACAACCTATGACAATTGTGATTCTTCTGCCAATGAAAATGTTGATATATGATCATAATGCAGGGCTAAAGGATGAGATGAGGGCACTTGAAATCGAAAAAATCATATCTAGAAAGACCATCGAGCATCTGTTGGATGAATTTCTCGGGCCATCATATTCAAGATGTCAGTAATAATCTCTTGGCTGGCAAATGGCATTGTGAAGAGTTGAGTACAGTTTGTATTTGAAAATTATTGATGGATTTATGATGACTGACCTGCTGTAATGATTCTCGTCTCGACGCTGTTTTTTTTCTCTCGAGTCGAGTATCGTCTACTTACTCTTCTTCTTTCTTCCGTTTGGATTGCCCCTCTTCTTATTTCTTCTGTATGTGTGTGTTGTCCATTTCCTCGCCCTTGCGAATTTATTAGGCACTGAATGTCAATGTTCTTGTTAGATAGAGTTTGCAATGAAGGGGTTGAACCTCTGTGTGGTGTTTGCTTAGACGTTTCTTACAGAACTTACATATGTTGAAAGTTACATCGTGTACTGCTTGTAAACCGAACTAGGTTTTCTGTCGACCTAACTTAATTGGTAAGTGTTACACACGAAACCAAATATCCACCGCCAGTGCTGAATTTGTTTTGGGGATGTTGATTTGATTGTTTTGCTGTGAAAACTTTTGCGGTGCCGTTTGATCATATGCACCACTGGCTGCTGAAATCAAGACGACCGTCAAATATCCACTGGGGAGTGTTGATTTGATCGATGCATCTCTGACTTCTGAAAACCAAAACGATTGTTACTACTTACTCGGTTCACACCTCTCCAAACAATGTTCGAACGAGAGTTTGAGATTTTTGGTGGAATTTACGTTACAGCTACTCCTATGGAGATTCCGATGCAGAGCTCCGCGACTACGCTACGACTACAACTATGGAGATCCTTCTTAGAAGGAGAGCTCTGCGAAGGAGTTACAGATAAAAAGGAAGTTTTGACAGAGTTGTTTCTGTGTTGATTTCTTTGTTGTCCTCACTCTCTCTTCTTGCTCTGGTGCTTTTATCAAAATCACTTTCGTAGTCTTCACGCTGTGAAACTGCCTCGCCTTTGTCTCCCACGTGCTCCATCCTTCTTCACGAAGTTGTAGTCTTCAACTGCTTCGAATATGTTCTCCAATCTTCCTTGCGTAAAAGTCACGTGCTCACACATCAACTTTGTACCACGGTTCGAATCACGGCACCGCCTTTGATTAAACAACATTGTTGTTTCCCCCCTTGCCACCGCATACTAGCCGCGAGGTTGTTGATCCCTCGGCGTCGTTGACTACACAACACCGTCGAAACTTGCAGCATTGTTGATCTCGCAACATTGTTGAGCTCGCAGCCTCGCAACGTCGTTCTTACCTAAACGACATCGCTTAATCGCAACGTCGTCCAAATATTCATCACTATGATTTTCTATTCTCCTTCCACGACACTGTTGGCCTTGTCGAATTCACAACCACGTACCGAGACTCAACGTGGCTTTTCATTAAATAGTGTCGTTTTCTATTCTACAACATTCTTCGATTTCGCGTGAAGCTTGCAACTTCACGGCGATATTGAATTGCTCGACCCTCCAACCCAGTTGTCAATTTCACCAAACTCGTGACATTGTTTTGGACAAAACAGCGTCGCTTTCCTACTCCACGATATGTTTAAACTCTTGCGACGTTGTTTTCACTAAACACTGTCGTGCTTTTAATCTTGCTACACTTTCAATAAGTGTCATAATCCATTTCTTACATAATTATTAATTTGGATTAAAATTCACCAAATTGACGAGACACATACATGGCCAAGTTTGGATAACTAGACACCCATCCTGCCAACGTACATAAGTGCCCAACAGCTCACGACGTCCTTTCATAGTACAGCGGTGTCGTTTGGGGTTAACTTCTCGGCGTTGTTTTATTTTACTAAATAACATCGTTTCTAATTTCACATCGGTGTTGGTCACGCACCCTATACAATCTTGGCCAAATCCTCTCCTTCTTCAGTGAGGAATAGAGAACACTACTTTTCCAATCCCAACACCAATATTGCAAAGCCGAACAATGGCTCACGACATTATTTTCTACTAAACAATGTTGTTTCAAGTATCGCGGCGTTGTTGGATCTTACTCGCGGTGCCGTTTAACCCCCCCGTGACGTTGCTTGTCTCTCAACGATGTCATTTTTTATCACGCGATATCTAATTAAATGCCGAGAACTCATTATTACGACATTGAATTTAGGTCAAAAATTTTTTAGGTGCAAACAATGCCCCCACAACTTAGTTTATAAGGATTTGTTCTTATGAACTAAGTTGTTGACACAAATTATACCACCTAAAATAAAAAATTGATCCAAGGGCCAAACTATAAATAAATAAAAATCACAAAATCACCCAACCACTCTTTGTTGTAACACACCAGCGGCCAATTATTGAACAGCAATAATTAGATAAGCCACATTGCTCTCCAAATATTCCCAACATTGTTGTGCCGAAACAGTAGTGTTTTGGGGGGTTTTCTTTCCGTTTCGTTAACAACAATGATAATAAACCAATGGCGATTAATCCGACTCGTACTCCCGGTGCCAGTAGCAGCTAGCAACACTGTTTTGGCCCAATTATACTCTCCATACATCAGGGTTGTGGCCATGCTTTGTTAGAATGAAATAGAGTAGCTCTTTTTCAAACATAATAAAAATACAAGGCCATCGCTGCATTGCATTGCTCTAGCAAAACAACAAATTCTTTTTTAATACAACAGTGTTGTTTGCACTTAACGCAACTTTGTTTGACCCTTTTTTTATTACTCCAAGATGCGGTCTAAATACCTCTTCCATGGTGGAAAACTCAACAACGTTGTTGCCCAAAGAGGGGGGACCATAAAACAACATCGCAACAACTATTCGACATCGTTTCCACCAACGTTGCTAAGAAAAGAGAAAACAACCCCACTGGCCATCTTGAACCATAGCCAACAACACTGTGGATTCTTCTTAGCAGTGTCACTTCATTATATTTTTATGATAAATTTTACTCTTTTTCTCTTTTTTTTTAATATATCACGGCCTAAATTAGCCACATTATTTATTTTAATAGTAGCTAAACAAAACAGGGTTGGCTTTGGCATAAACCATCCTGCCAAAAGTCCACACCCACTGCCAACTCCACGGACCAAACCAAACAAGCCACCCATGAACACCATGACTCATCCCAACTAGCTTTACACATGACTGAGAAGTTTTGAAGTCGGTGTTGGAATTCAACTTTTCAGCTTGTCTAGCTCGAACATCCTTGTTTGAGATCCCGCGAGCTCGATTTGGTTTCACCTCAGCTATCAGTTTTGGCCGATGACATGAAAAATCTTCAGTGGTGTTTGCTCTAGGCATGACATTCACATTCTTTGGCATCTTGGTCTTGCTACGTCGACCATGCGACATTGTTTGCCCACCATGGTTGTTTTATATCAACTGCACACTCTCACGACGTTGTTGAGAGTGTGTGCACTGAGGATTACAACTTCCTCCAACACGTATCTGAGTAGTGCGACTTTGATTTTTCTTATCGCGACCATGATTGCTGAAGCTATCAAAAAATAACTTTGATTCATCTAAGCTTCTAAGTGAGTTTGGAGTTTGTCCAGCATTGGACTGGCCCCCCAATCCACCATTCATGCCAAACTTGCTCCCATCCAGCACTGGTGTACCAACTCCATGTCGGGCTTGATTGAACTTGCCCCCTGTCCACTCAGTGGAGTCTTTGGGGAAATTTTACATGGAGGATTCTGTTGACTCATGCCAACTTTGGTGACATTGGATTTTTTCACGTGGCTGCTACTCCTACACCGAAGTGTGTCTATGTCAACCCTAGTTTGATTTTTCCTAAAACAGGGTGGATGTGGCAAACTTCTTTGCCACTTGCAATGTTGTTTCTCCTTCAATATTTCATGCAGTGGGATCTCATCTCCCACTAACAGCTTAGATTGAACATCATTACGATACTGGTTTGACAACACATCACACGGGAACTTCCTATGCTCAACATGCTTGTTATCAGGTTGTCCACCCTGATTCTTATTTCCATTCTTAGTAGAAATACGTTGATGATGACTTCTTTGTGGTGGCTTCTACAAGCCAACTCCAACACGTGTGTCCTCAAGAACAATGTTGTTCACACGAAAAGACACATTGGATTCACTCTTTTCTGGCAACAATGATGTAGCCAGACTCATTGATGACATTTGGTTGACAATGGCTAGTCTATCAACCCTTAAATCATCACAAGCAACAGACATGGTTTCAGATTTAAACACATAAAAATCATACATAGCTCTGTGTATTGACATACTAAAATCATAAACACAGTCATCCAACTTATCAAACCATCGATCTATGTTGTTTTCAAGATTATTCATTTTTTTGTCAAGAGAAGTTAAAATAAGATTTACCTGTTGGCTATCTCTGCTGAGTTCAGCCACTATTTGGCGGAGCATGCACAACATCTCACCCTGATCGGCGGTGTGCGCCACTGATTGCACCTCCGCTCCGGCGTTGTTGCTTGAAGCACATACAACATCGACAACCTCGACGTTGACCAATTGAGCCTCTGATGTCGCTAAAAGCGCATGCAAAAATAATCCTGAAAGTGAAACTGACTGGAGTCGTATTTCCCTAGGGTCTTTTCTGTTGTCTTACTCAAGTATTAATATTCTTATGTTTTTAATTGATTTAATTTAGACAATGGTTTGGAAAAGTTGTTTGGATTAGTTTTCCCCTCGATGTTTCATCCCGAGTAAACTCAATTTAATTAACAAGTTTTAATACAAATTTCATCCCATCGTAATTTCTAAAATTGAATTCATGCAATTTCTTACCAATGAATTCGTGCAGCTTCCAATTATTAATCTCGGTTTTCACGTCAAATTAAAAAATTGAAAATTGAAAGATGAAGACCCAAATTACACTCAAGATGGACCACACAAATTAATCCTGATTTCTCATGAATTTTACCTGAATGGTTCTTGTATTTGGTGATCAAGGAATCATAGTGTTGTTTCTAGACGACTCTGTCTTCCAACAATTTCCTAAATGGAAGGTCTCTCTTCTCATCCGGGAACAAGATAAACAAACACAAGATAAGTTAATTTGTCATAAATCCGTTAGTTAAATTGTGTTAAAAGAGTCGGGATCTTTAATTTCATCAAGGATTCCACTATTCCAAACAACGTGTTTTTTAGTTCTTCATTAAATCGGATGAAGGGCGGGAAGATATAATTATCTCAAGTGAGGTAACCAATCGTATAAACCTAACCCCACTCCACAAATAAATATAAATATAGCACAAATTGGACGAAAGGGTGGAAGGACTTAGCTAACTCAAATGAGCTAGCTAATCGTATAAACCAAACCCCACTCCGAAAATATAAATATGGGGATACGGAAGGACTTAACTAACTCAAGTGAGCTAGCTAATCGTATAAACCATTTCCCCACTTAAAAAGTAGATATGGGAGTAGGGCGGTAGTCTGTCCCCAATTAACCCATGATAATAAT